GGGCGTTTTGGGCAGGAGCACTACCTGGCCTGCGCCGTGGCCTTTGGGCTATGCTTGGCAGCGATGTACTCGGTGTACTGCATGTTCCGACTGAGTATGAATTCAATGCGTGCCCCCCTAGGGTTTAGGGCCTAGGGTTTGGGGCCTAGAAAGCATGAAAACCGCCGGCAGGCACAGACCAAAGCAGCAAAACCCAAGCCCAAGACGAGCCGAACCAGCACAAAAATTAAGAAAAAAAAAAAATCCAGACGGAAACCGACGACATCATATCCCGAAAACACCAAACCGACACAAAAGTGACACAAAAGTGACACAAAAGTGACACAAAAGTGACACAAAAGTGACACAAAACTGACACAAAAGTGACAGTAAACTGACACTAAACTGACACTAAACTGACACTAAACTGACACTAAAGTGTCAGTTCAAGGCAAAACTAACACAAAACTAACAAAACCGATATACATTATTGTTAGTTTGGTAAAACTAGCCCATGGAATTGTCACTTTAGTGTTACTTTTGCTGTGGGATTGTTACTTTGGTGTTACTTTAGTGTCACTTTAGTGTCACTTTTGTGTCAGTTTTGTGTCACTTTTGTGTCAGTTTTGTGTCACTTTTGTGTCACTTTTGTGTCAGTTTGCTGTCCCTGGAGCTTTTTCTGTGCTGTTTTCTTCCTGCTGCCCTTGATTCGTTTGGCTTCCGGCCTGTGCTTTCTGGGTGTTTCGAAACCGAACCGAGGACTTTCGCCTGGAAAAGAGAACTGTGCATCAGAGTTTTCCAATAATGTCGAATATCGTGCTAAAACCATAACTAGTTGAAATCTTGCTTCGGCTTTGGAGCTATGGTGCTGAATGTAAAACTAGGTAACATGATGCTGTCAACATAGGCAGCTTGCTGATGGCCCGACAAGAGGCAACATGGTCTCTAATGTTTCTAAGTAACAGTGCACGAGGAAACTTAGTCTTAAGTAACAGTGTGCAGGCAAACCTAGGTAACATGTTACTTAGAGAGCTGTGTATGTAACATGTACTGCTGTTGTCTAGTTCCACCCGTTGTGGTCGTTGAGAAATCTGCACCCCGATCCGTGCTCGAATTCAAAAAGGCTAGTGGTGATTGGGAGTATGAAGTCCCGGGCACATGTCGTGACATGCTAAAACACCAGATTTTCATGCATGATGAGAAGAAGACTTTCCGAGAAGACTGATCCAGCCATGGCTGTTAAGGGTAGTGGTTCCCTGAAGAGAAAGGGAGCTCAGCTTGACCTCGACGGCGAACCGTTGACGGAAGCAGAGGCCGCCCCAGAACAGGAGCAGGAGGCACAGGAGAAGGAGGAGCAGAAGAGCCCCAAGCCAAAGAGCCCAGCCAAGCCCAAGAGCAAGAGCAAGCCGAGCAAGCCGCAGACCTCCCCCAAAGCAAAGGCGAAGGGAAAGGCCAAAGCAAAAGCAAAAGGCGAGAGCAAGCCCCCAGCAAAAACACCCAAGGCCAAGAGCACAGCCAAAGCTACCCCCCAGCCGAAGGCCAAGAAAACTAAGCCGGGGAAGCAGCTCAAGGAGGGGGACAACAACAACAAGAACGTGACCAGACAGGAAAGCTTCGCTGACAAGGCTTTGCAGTGGAAGCTTGCAGCCGAGGACAAAGCCGAGGCCCAGGAGAAGCCTAAGGAGGAGCCCGAGGCAGAGGAGCAGGACGGCGACGAGGAGGACAACCAGGGCGGCGAAAAGAGGGACCTCGCCAAGGCCAGGAAATTCAAGAGAATGTCCGATGCCGGTGCAATCCCGGAACACATTCAGGAGGTTCTGAGCAAAGCGAAGACCCGTGCTGCCAAGACGGAGCTGATCAACGAGCTGTTCGACAAGAACGACAAAGGCAAGCTGATCATGAAATCGGACAAGCCCGTGTTCGAGACCACGAAGCAGGCCAAGCATCAGAAGTTTGGTCGAGATGAAACCATGGGGGCACCAAAGGATGTGGTTTTGCACCGGGACTACCATGGCGATGAAAAGGCTTTGGATGCTTCCATTGCAAGGGGCACGGTGATGGTGTGGCTGCAGGATGGGGTAGAGTTCGCGGGCTATCGGCAAACCGTTGCCGGGATTGGCAAGACGGTGGAGGACAAGCACCAAGCGAAGAGTGGTGCCAAGGAGATCACCGACGAGACCTTTCAGGCCCTCGACAAGGCCTTCCGAGCCATGACCTTTTCGTTTGATCAAGATGACCAGCCCCGCCAGGCTATCGCAGCAGAGGCAGCAAGCTCGAAGGAGCCCCCCGTCCTCAAGCAGTTCACGGAGTCCCAGCAAGCTTTGCTGGAGGAGGCCAAAGGAGCGATGGAGCGGCTTCATAGTGCTGCTATGAGGATGATTTCAAAATGCTCGCAAGCGAAGGACAAGGAGAGCTTCAAGCCGCACATGCTTGCTATGAAATCATGGATGGACAGGGACGACCACCTGTTGCTATGGAAAGAGTTCCCAGACTCAGAGCGGCCCCTCACCGCTGCAACCTTCAAGGACTACATGTGTGAGCATTCCGAAACGGCGGTTTCCTTGAACGAGGAGTGCGAGAAATTCAAAGCCCTTTTGAAAGCAAGGAAGGAGCTGTGATTCCATCCCGAGTCTTGCTCATCATGTGCATTTTGATATGAAGAGAAACGTGCTAAGTAACATACTCGGTACTAGGTTTCATTCCGGTTATCAATTGTTTTCTAGCAACTAAGTAACAATGTTGTTGTTCAGCATTGGCACCCTGGCCATGAAGACATGTTGTCGGCGAGACACGTAGCCATGTCTGTAGTTTTGCTTCTGTTGCAGCAAATCCTTTGCTATAGATGCCACGGTTTTCGGGTTCACTAAGATGTTAATAACATAGAGGGTTTCACATTGGAGGTTCGGGGTGCCCGTTTGTGGATGTTCTAGAGGGGTATGGTTTATGACAGTTTATGATACCATTTTGGGATCGAAGGGTTTGCTCTGTGGCCCTGGCATTGGAGCTGTGCTGCGATAGTTTTCTTAGCATCCTCAGAAGCTGCCGGGCAGCCTGGGGTATAGAAGCCTCGAGTTCCGGGGGTGTGGTGTGTGCAACGTTTCATAGTGGCATAGCACGAGGCTTGTTATTTGCAGCTGATGTTCTCGCCCACAGGCCCTCTTGTCATATGAACAGCACAAACTGGAGTCCGAATTTCCGAGAACATCGTGTTGCGGGGGGTCCAAGTTTTGTGGGCTCTGTGAAACATGTGCCGCTTCACCTGGTTGCACCATTGGCAGCAAGATCCGAAAACAATGTATGCTGCTGGGTTGCTGCTCAGCAGTGTTATGTTGGTTGGGGTTTCTGAGCGCTCAGGGTTTCAGTGTGCATACATAAAAAATGTGGTTGAGGTTTTATTTGTGTTCCTAGAGTCAAAACCTCTGTCTATGCCCCCCCGGCCTGACAGTCCCAGCGAAACCCCGCTGGAGCCCAACACTTGATTCTAAGTAACATTGTGTCGGCATGCATAAAAATTGTTGTTGAGGTATGCTTCGTGCTCTTAGAGTCAAAACCTCTGTGTATGCCCCCGGCATGAAAGTCCCAATCAACATTTGCTGAAGCCCAACACTTTATTCTAAGTAACATTGTGTGTGCATGCATAAAAATTGTTGTTGAGGTATGCTTCGTGCTCGTAGAGTCAAAACCTGTGTGTATGCCCCCGGCATCAAAGTCCCAGTCAAAATTTGCTGAAGCCCAACACATAATTCTAAGTAACATTGTGAGCATGCATAAAAATTGTTGTTGAGGTATGCTTCGTGCTCTTAGAGTCAAAACCTCTGTGTATGCCCCCGGCATGAAAGTCCCAATCAACATTTGCTGAAGCCCAACACTTTATTCTAAGTAACATTGTGTGTGCATGCATAAAAATTGTTGTTGAGGTATGCTTCGTGCTCGTAGAGTCAAAACCTGTGTGTATGCCCCCGGCATCAAAGTCCCAGTCAAAATTTGCTGAAGCCCAACACATAATTCTAAGTAACATTGTGAGCATGCATAAAAATTGTTGTTGAGGTATGCTTCGTGTTCCTAAAGTGAAAACCTCTGTGTATGCCCCCGGCATGAAAGTCCCAGTCAAAATTTGCTGAAGCCCAACACATAATTCTAAGTAACATTGTGAGCATGCATAAAAATTGTTGTTGAGGTATGCTTCGTATTCCTAAAGTGAAAACCTCTGTGTATGCCCCCGGCATCAAAGTCCCAGTCAAACCCCGCTGAAGCCCAACACATAATCTAAGTAACATGCTGTGCATGCATAAAACTTGTTGTTGAGGTTTGCTTGGTGTTGCTACTCACAAAACCTTTTAGTATGCCCCCGGCATCAGAGTCCCACTCAAACCCAGCTGAAGGTCAACTCAGAATTCTAAGTAACATTGTGTGCATACATTCGGTTGAGGTTTGCTCGGTGGTCCTAGTCACACAACCTTTTAGTATGCCCCCCGCATCAAAGTCCCAGTCTAAGCCCGCTGAAGCCCAACACACAATTCTGTGTGGTGCCTCAGAAAATGACCCATCGAGTTGTGTGTTGATGTCGATAATCACAAAACCTTTTTGTATGCCGTCGTCGCAGCTTCGCTTGTGGCAAGAGAATAGAACACTGCTGTCCCAATGTTACTTAGATGGCACACATGATTAAATATGTGCTGACACATGTTACTTAAAGTTGATCTATTATGCAACACATGTCACAGGAAAGATCTAGTGTTTGGATTATGGTGCCATACAGCTACTTAGAGCACATGCTACCTAATTTTGATTGATGCCATACCGCATGTTGCCTAGATTTCTTCGATGTCACATGTTACCTAAAGCATATGTTACCTAGATTTCTTCGATGCCAGATGTTACCTAAAGCACATGTTACCTAGATTTCCTTGATACCACATGCTACCTAGAGCACATGTTACCTAGGGCAGGCCGTGAAAACAACATGCCATTATATATTTCTAAGCCACACGAAGTCTCGGTAGAATCTATGCGGTGCCGGAATGGAAGAGGAGCCCCCTCCAAAGCGGTTGAGGCGAGGTGGAGTGCAGCAGAGGCTCCAAAGAGTTGAAGCCAGAAATGATGCAGCTCCTGTTGCGAGCAATCTGGCACATGAGCTGTTGGAGCGATGGTCGTGGGGCGAAGTGAGCCCTCAGGTGGTCCAAAAGCTGGCAGCTGCCTCCCAAAGGGACTTTCAAGCTGTCGGAGCGACGCCGCCCAGCGAAATCGCTGCTTTAGCTGGCTTGGGATCTGCTGGTCTGTATCCGAATAATATGCACAAGGAGATTCTGAAAATCGCAAACAAGAACAATGCTTTTTCGAAGCCCTTCGCTGTCAAAATGAACCTCAGGGATACTTATAACCTTTTGTTTTTGTAGTTTGCTGGGTATAGTATCTCTAAGCCCTGAGAAAGAAATCCAAATTATAATTCCTGCCAGGGTTTCCCTATCTTCCAGCCAGGAGCTTCAAGCCACCCTGGGACAAACTGCTTCAGACGATGCTTCTTCCACATGTGGTATTTTCTGATCTCTACCACTCTTACCCAGCCGCCTTTGCAAAGTTCATGATGCCTTCTGGAGGTATTTCGAAACTTAAGGAATTCTGGCGCCTTCAGAAGGCGGGTCACCCCGCTTGGCGAAACCACCCGATCGTCAGCAAGAGGTCCTTCGATGCCGAGCATACCCTGCCTTTACAGCTACACGGGGACGGCACCCCTGTGGTGGGGATAGGGAAAATCTGGAGCAGGCAGCTGACCTCCTACACGTGGAACAGCCTGCTGGCGGAGGGGTGGACAAAGGACAGTATGATGCCATCGTGGTTTTGCTTCGATGAGACCGAGGCTGGAAGAGAAACGACAGATGAATTTTTCCGAATCATCTGTTGGTCGTTTGCCTGCCTTGCCAGTGGAGTCTGGCCAGCAGCCAACCACTTGGGTGCAAAGCAACTGTGCAAGTCCACTCATTCAAGCTTTTGCTGTCCGTTTTGGTTTCTGTCTATACACATTATATAACGTGTATCCTAAGTCTTCAAGGATTGAGGGGTGAAGCTCTGTGATAAATCTTGTTTGCAGATAGAATTCGTGGAATCAATTTTGGTTGCATTCCCAAGTTGCAGACCCTACTACCCCAGAACATGTGAAGGCAAAATAGGGCCCTTACATAGTTTCATTGACTTTTCTTTTCGGAGGTCACTCCTATTCTTTTAAAGACAAACAACCAGCAACGACTGTCGCCAGGCAGTCCTAAAGTCCCAGAGAAAAAACCTTCGAGGTATCCCGCCGGTACCGTGGAAGCCCGTCGAGCCGGGACGCCGCTGGCGAATGGACTGCGAGGCATCATCTGGAGTTTGAATGGCGATGCCGAATATTTGGTGCAAAAGCTGCAGTTGCCCCATTACGGATCGAAATCATCCCCATGTGCCCTTTGCAGGTGCAGAGGCGACAATTCCGATTCGAGCTGGCATGATTGCCGAACAAGTGCTCGGTGGCTCACGTTGGGATGGACAAGGGAATCATGGTTGGCATACCCGGAGCGATCATCGAGTGCCATCTTCTCCAATGCCACTGGTCTCACCCCATTGAACGTGCACTACGATTACATGCACTGCAAGTATTTGGGGGCAGACCAGATCAGCTTCGGGTCGGTCCTTGATTTGTTGGTGAGTCACCTCATGGCAGACTCACCACTAACAAATCTGGGACAATGCTGGGACAAAATCGTTACCTCGTACAAGAGACTGGGAATCTCCGAGAGGTATAGAGGCTTCCGCAAGCTGACAATGTTCCAGAGGAAAAAAAAATGCCCCAAGCTGAAAGGCAGGGCGGGCCAGATTGCTGCTTTTGGCGAGCCCCTGTTGGAACTTTGGGAGGAGCACATGCATCCTGATCTTGCTGTGCACTGCAAGATCAGGACGTACTTGCGACTGAACATCGCCATGGAGAAGATCATGAAGGAGTGCCGAGCCGAGACTGCTTTCCCGGAGCCCCAGGCGACCAACTTCATCGAATATGCCTTCGCTATGTGCAATCTTCATATGGAGTTGGGGGCACACTTCGAGGCCGAAGGCCTCAAGCTTTTCAGCCCTTTACCCAAGCTGCATCTGCTTTTGCACACGGTTTTGCTTTGCCGCCACATCAACCCGAGACTCACTTGGTGCTACAAAGGCGAGGACCTTCAAAAGGTCAGCAGGAGTTTGGCCGCCAGCTGTGCCCGAGGACTCAGAGGACCGGCGGTGACGGTGAAAATGGTGAGCAAGCTCAGGGCGGCTTGGAACCTGAGGCTGAGCAAAGTCTCTGCAGACTGAGAAGCTCGGGGCGCACCTGAGACTGAGCAGAGACCGAGTGTGAAAAAAATCTGCTGCTGCCGCCGCCAGTTCAGTTCAGGCAAGAAGGGAAGCAGCTGTCCCAGCACCATGAAACATGATCGCTACGTAACATTCTTTAAGTAACATGTGTGCTCTATAAGTAACATGTTCTGGTCTGACGACCAAGGAAAAAAGCTGTCTAAGTAGCATGTGGAACATGATCCCTAGGTAACATTCTCTAAGTAACATGTGCTCGTTTGGAAAAACAAGTTTGGCCTGCTCCTGCTTTTTCCCAAGCTTTTCAAGTTTTCCGCAACAAAATTTCAATGCCATCTGACAAATAACCTTCGGTTATTTTGGTAAATAGACTCGAATTTGCTAGGTTATTTAATCAAATAGACTATATCCTATTTTCTAAATAAACTATTTTCAAGGTTATTCAAAATAGGATAATAGTCAAAAGATAACCTACAAACCCCAAATAGGATAATAGTTAGGAAATAACCTAACCGAATCTAAGAGGT